GAACAGCAGCAGCAGGCCCAGCCTCAGACTGTGGCCTTGTCCTGAGCTCACTTGGCAACTGTACTCCAGGTAGCCGTCCACTCCCACATCTTCCCACCAGCAGATCCAGTGTTCCCTGTGGGAAGATACAGAGGCACAGTGTCTGGTCAATGCTAGGCACTCACTTCTGAGCCTGCACGCCAGGCAGAGGGCAGGCGGTTCCCCGGACCTGGGTCTCCTAGAGGCCTAAGACAGTGAGGCCCAGGGCAGAGCCAGCTGCCCGCTCAGTGTCAGCTGAGACCAGGGATTAAAGCAGGGGCAGGGCCACGCCCAGCTCAGGATTCCAAACCTAGCAGCCTGCAAATACTGCCTGCATGCCTGCTTGTGGCCCACCCCTCTGTGGAGTCCTCCCCTGGCCTGCAGCTTGCTTTCACCCCCAGCATGACGGCTCCTCCACCGGACTGACCAGACATTTCCAAGGCCACTACTTCCTGCCACTCCTGTCTACTCGCCATAGTGTTTGGGGGGTGCTTCGAGCACCCTGGCCCCTCCCCCAAATTACTGATATTGACCAAGTGGGCCTGCCTGCCACATACCACAGCTTGAACCGTGGGTGCCCAGGAGACTCCGTCTGGGGCTTGATCCTGGTAAATAGTGCAGCCTGAGACACTCCTGGAAAGGGCAGCCGTGGCACCTGTCCCCTTCCCCAGGGCACCCACCATGCCCCACTGGACCCCCACCCACCCACCCCCAGCACAGAGGCACGTCTGATACCAGCGGGGGTTGTTCCACTGGAAGGTGAATGTGGAATCTCAGAGTCACCTCCACCTCCATGGAGCAGCACCTTCTGGGGACAAGGCATGGCCACCAAGCAGGCCAGGACAGGAAGGGCTTTGTCACTCACTTCTCTCAGGATATAAAGGGAGAAGTGCAGCCAGAGAGAGCCAGAGACGGGCTGGAGGCCTCACACCGTGAGCTTTGCAGAGCCAGGGCTTTTGGCCTGAGGCGCCCTCTGCCACACAGGCCAAGGCTTCTGCGGAAACACTTGGGCCGGCAGTCTGTGATGGAGGCTCTGAGCTGGCTCCTTCGTCGGCAGTGCTACTGGGGGTAGTGGTTCTGAGAACTCTCTTATTAATGAAGAAAGTGTGACTCGCTGAGGTCAGGCAGCTAGCAAATGCTTCTGTTGCCCCTCCAGGAAGCCCCCCTCAGGGCTGGACATGGCCATTTTTTTCCCAGGACAGGGCCCCTTGGCATCTCCCAGTCCACGCCCAGCAGCTCTGCCCCATGCTGCCACTGACCAGGAGCGCCCTCCTCCGGGAAGCCTTCCCGTGGTGGCCAGAGTCATGCTCCCAGGGACTGAGCTGCGCTATTTCCCTCTGACGGTCATGTGCCCCCTCTCCCTCCGTGGTCCCTCCCCCTCTGTGGCCCCCCGCTCCCCCCGTGCCTGTGCAGGGCTCTCAGAGTCACAGACAGCGCCCTGGCCGACCTCCTTGCCTGAACCCCTTCCTCCCTCTCCCAGCCTCTGAACTGCCCATGTGGGCCAGGGCAGGAGAGCCCCCAGCTTTTTGCATCTCTGTCCCTGCTGCCTGAGAGCTCTCTGGGTCATGAGGAGCCACCCAAACGCAGCCCTTGGTCCCGGAAGAGGAGATGGTTGGACCCCCCAAGGACACCTGCACCAGGTATGGGCACTCTGCCCAGGTCTCTCTTTCCTCCTCCTGGTGGGGGGGGGTCTCCTCACTGCCCCCCACCCCATGAGCCCTCAAGGATAGGGACTGAATTTCTCCTGCTCTGTCCCCGCTCTTGGAATCTCCTGACTCTGTGGAATTCACACTTGTTGGGTGCTTGCCTGTGCCAGAAACCATCCAGGCACCGTCACATAGCTTCACTTCATCCTTTCAATGACACTGTCTGATGAGTGTTGGGTTTCCCCAGTGGCTCAGCTGGTAAAGAACCTGCCCGCCAATGCAGGAGATGCAAGAGATGTGGGTTCGATTCCTAGGTCAGGAAGATCCCCTGGAGAAGGAAATGGCAACCCACTCCAGTGTTCTTGCCTGGAAAATTGCATGGGCAGAGGCACCTGGAGGTAGCTATAGTCTAGGGGGTTGCAGAGAGTCAGACACGACTGAGGACGCAGACACAGGATACAGGTGAGCGTTATTAGCCCATTTACAGATGAGAAAACACTAGATCTGGAGAGCTGACATCACTGGGAGAAGGCCGCCACCTTAGTAAGGGCCAGCACTAGGATTCAGACCAATGTGTGCCGTCCCCAGTTCAAGCTCCCTCCACAAGCCTAGCTGCTGTCCACACAAGCTGCAGCTTCAGGGACCTGTAAAGGAAGGCCTATCAGGGGCTGCATGCCTGCGGAGCGACAGGAGGGCTCCAGGCCCAGGGACCTCTCCCCCACCGCCCCCCCTTCACCCCAGCTGGTCCATCAGGCCAGACAGTGGGGCCTGAGGGTGTCAGGCAGTGCTGGCAGCCAAACAAGGGGTCGCAGTCAGTCAGACACTTCCTCACTGCACAAAGCCCCACTTCCCTCCAGACAGAGGACCCCAAAGAATGCTTGGAATGTCGTTGGGGCCAGACAGCCTCCGGCAGATGCCGAGAGGCTGGCTTTGTGCTCCGTTTGCCAGGGCGACTGACCCCAAGTTAGAAAGGTCACTCCCTGACCTGTGACCCTGCCCTCTCACCTCGCAGCAGGGGGTGGTGGTGGAGAGAGGGAGGGGTGAGCTGGGCCTCCCTCCAGTGGTTCTTCCATACCAGTGGGATGGTGTCCCAAGTTTGCGGCAGCTTCAGGAAAGAGGCCCAAGAGGCCTCCTCCAAGAGGCCTTCTTGGCTGCTCTACAGCTTAGCCCACAGTCTAGCCTTAGACTTGAAGACCCCAGGGTCCTCCTTGCACAGGCACAAGCAGAGCTGGGCCAGTGGCTGGGAAACAGTGGGCCTTCGCTATGGTCAGTGGAGTCAGGAGGCTGGTGGTCAGCAGTGGCATGGTTGGCGGGGTTCTTGGTAGGCTTGGAGTCAGGGCCCAGCCCAGGGCAGCCGAATGAGTAGACATGAGAAGGAGGGAAGAGGGGACCATGTCCACCCAACCCCAAAATCCAGAGAAACATTTTCAACTTGCCTGTGACTCACTCTTCCTCAGCAGAAAACTGTTTTTTCCTTCGAAATCACAGACTTCCACCTTCAGACAATAATGTGTTCTCAGGAAGTTACATGTGTTGTTTTTCTGTGCAGGCTGCTGGGGGTAGTGTTTTTTTTACAAACGGTTTACTGTAATAAGGCCTGGGAGCCACGCTTCCCCTCAGACCAGGCTGACCTCTAAATAAGGTGATCAGATTGGGCAACTAAAAATGCAGGACACCCAGGTAAATCAGAAGAACAACAAATCATTGTTTTAATCTAAGTACATCTCACACAATAGTTGGGACAGGATTACACTTAAAAAAATAAAATGTTTATTTATCTGAAATGTGGATTTAACCTGTATTTTGTTGGACTACCCTGTCCTCAAGTTCATGGACCACAGGCCACTCCTGGTTACCAGCCCCAGGGGCTTCTGAGGTCCCTCCTGACTCCACTGACCCTAGAAAGGGTCCCTGTCTCCTGATCACTGACCCTGCTCTGCCTGTGTCCCTGGAAAGGGGCACTGGGCCCTCAAGTCACAGGCCAGACTGTGACTCAGCTTTAGAGCAGCCAAGAAGCCAAACCCCATGCAGGCCTTAAGCCTTGTTCCACGTCTGCCCCTCCTTCCATCGAATTCCTAGGAAGACTGACAGGTGGAGGGAGGTCTCCCTCTCTGAGGTCAGGACCCTCAACCTGATCTTGGAGGAGCTCTCACCAGGCCACAACACCTGCTCTGACCTCAACCTGAGGGGAGGCAAGCTGAAGGTTGGCCCTTTACAAGAGTGCCTGCCCCGGACCCCCCACCCTGGATCCATCCCTCACCCACCTTCCATGGCGTTTTACACTCCAGGACCTGACCTCTCACCCCAGCTCCTGCAGTGTGTGAAGGGGGAGTTTTCTCCCTTCTTTCCTGGCTGAGACACCTGGAGTCCTGCTTCCATTTTAAAGCATTACATCATGACCCCTGAGAAACGTATTTTTTCCAACTTTATGGGTCCCTAGGGGCTTCCCTGGAGGCTCAGACAGTAAAGAATCTGCCTACAATGTGGGAGACCTGGGTTTGATCCCTGAATTGGGAAGATCCCCTGGAAGAGGGCATGGCAGCCTACTCCAGCATTGTTGCCTGGAGAATCCCCATGGACAGAGGAGCATGGTGGGCTACAGTCCATGGGGTCACACAGAGTTGGACATGCCTGAGCAACTAAGCATAGCACAGCATAGCAGAGGGGCTTCACGGGTGGCGTAGTGGTGAAGAATCCACCTGCAATGCAGGAGAGGCAGGTTCGGTCCCTGGGCTGGGAAGATGCTCTGGAGAAGGAAATGGCAACCCACTTCAGTGTTCTTGCCTGGGCAATCCCATGGACAGAGGAGCCTGGCAGGTTATGGCCCATGGGGTTGAAAAGAGTCAGACACAACTTATCGACTAAACAGCAACAACAACGTGGAGCCCTAGAACAGGTGAGACATGTTTCTTCCATCCACCATTTCTGAAAGATCCCACTCTAGGCTCACTAATTGAGAAGCATTCCCAAGGCACCTAGTCTCAGCCTGGCCCAGCTCAGTCTGGATAGGTGAAAACACAGAGAAGATCCACTGATCCTCAGGAGCTTGGGATGGTGGGAGAGAGATGGGTACGTGTCTCATCACCTTGCAGTGTTTCTAGGCTCGTGGGGAGTGGGGTGTGGGGACTGCTCAGGCTGAGAGACCAGGGCAGGCTTCTCAGAGGAGGCAGTGCTGAACTGAGTCCCAAGAGTGGGAAGATTCTGCTGGAAAGAAGAGAAATGAAGTTTCAGAAAGACGAGCAGATGGACAAAGGCCTAGAGGCTTGGAAGCCATGTGGCTCTTTGAGCTGGAGAGGTTCATGGAAAGTCAGGCCAGGGAGGACAGTAGAGCAGGTGATGCAAGGCCTCCGGTGCCTGCTGGGTCTTGGATTTCATCCGACAGAGACCCAGGAGGGCGGAATTCCAGGTGAGGCCAGAGCTCACCCGTGCTCACAGGAGCAGGGAGGCCACCGGGGAAGATCCGGATTCCATCTCGTTCTCCCCTTCTGCAGCCCAGCCTGCATGCGGCAGGAGCTCCATGTCTGCTAAGTCAACACGGATCAGGCCAGATGGGAATCTCTGGCCCTTAGCAAAGAAAGAGATGAAAATCTAAGGCCTGATTCAAGGTAGCTGTTCCACAGCCCTTCACACCACCGGACACCCCTTCCTCGGGCTGTTCCCCCTGGTCTCAGGCCTTCCCTTCCCCCTGCTCCCTCCGTGTTTGTCCACCTCTGGGCCTAGTTCCCCGCCCCTCCTGGAGCCCCGGATCACCCTGCACTTCCAGACTCCGGGAGCCTGAGGTCTGCGCAGCAGCCCGGCTCCAGTTTGCCTCTTTTCCTGCCGAGCACTCCCCACATTGTTCGCCTCTGTGCCCTTTTTCCTGTGCCTGAGCGATTCCAACTTTATTGCCCTGGTTCTCTCCAGGGGTCATTCCGCCAAACTGAAACTGGCGCCACGGACTGGAAAAAACAGAGTCCCTTGAACCCCTAGGACCTCCTCCTGGTGGAGGAGACAGGCCAGCAGAGACCCTCACTCCCTGCTTCCTCCCCTCCCGGGCCCTGGTCCTGGCCCACCAGGATGCTACGGTCCTGCCCTGGGTCCACGTTCACAGCTTCCTGAGGGAGCCTTTCTCGGAAGCCAGTCCGCACGGTGGGGGTGGGGGTGGGGGTGGGGGTGGGATGAGGGGGACTGAGGCCTGCCAGTGCCAATCCAAGGGGGGCTGGGACCGATCACTGAGTCCCGGGGTCCCATCTGCTCGGCTTCTCCTCAGGCAGGCCAGAGCAGCTGAGAGCAGGATCCCAGGTCCCAGCGTACCTGCCCTGTGACCTTCTCATCTTACCAGCAAGGAATCAGGGCTCAGAGGGGTTATGCCATCTCCTGAAGTCACAGAGCTGATAAGAGCCAGGCCTGGGACTCGGGACTTCCGGTTTCACACCAGTGCCCTCTCTTCTGTCTGCCAATTGGTCCTGAGCCAGTTTCTTGAACCTGGGGCACACAGGCCCCGGGGGAAGAGGCCTGGGAAGCCTGGCTCAGGCCTGGTTCTGTGACCAGCTTATTATGTGGTTCCCGTCAGGCCCTTTCCCAGGTCAGCGACTTTCTTCCAGCTCAGCACTCCAAGGTTTCCCGGTTGGGGCCACTTTCTTCTGATAAATCTCTCTTTGACCAAACTCTAGTCAGGTTCTTCTGGACTCCCCTCTAAACTAGGTCCTGGCTTTTGGGCTTCCATGTTCACCCAATTTTAGTAAGAATCTTGCTAAGTCAGTTTAGCCAGCATCTATCTGTCGTCCTCAATATCTGATCACCCTCAACATCTGACGGGGTTTCTCATCTCCCGATAGCCCACAGCTGGTGTGTGGTCACCCAGATCTGCCTCCAACAAGCATCCTGCTAGGTAGGTTTAGCCAGAACCCCATTATCCCTGATGCTTCCTCTTAGGAATTTTCTATCCTCTGACACCCCTTGCTTCTTAGCTATCAATTCCTGCTTTTCCTTATATTCGCAGTTGAGCTCACTCTCTCTCTCCTATCACAAAACCCCGCCTCAGTGACAATCCCCTGAATAAAGTCTGCCTTGAAACGTGCGTGCGTGCCAAGTTGCTTCAGTTGTGTTCGACTCTGTGTGACTCTATGGACTATAACCTGCCAGGCTCCTCTGTCTACAGATTTCTCCAGACAAGAATACTGGGGTGGGCTGCCACGCCCTCCTCCAGTGGATCTTCCTGACCCAGGAAGTCTCCTGCATTGGCAGAAAGGTTCTTTACCACTAACACCACCTGGGAAGCCCAAAGTCTGCCTTATCATTCTTGAACAAGTGTTGGAATAATTGTTTCTTTAACACCTCTGTTCCCATCAAAACCCCCTCCCACGGCTCCCTGCCATCCCTGACTCATGCCATGAGGCTACATAAACTCCTGATTCAGTTCTTGGTATAGCCCTAAGAGTTTGAAATTATCTCCCCAACCCTCTTCCATCACAGGCCTGTAATTTATAACTCTTAAGTTGGTTACAAAGAGAGACAGTATGAAGTTGAGGGAAAAAAATAAGGACCTTGTCCTCCCCCCACCCTGAGTTCTGATTTTGATTCCGTCACCTTGCATCTGTGAGATCTGGGTCAGGTCACTAAAGCTTTTGGAGCCGCAGTGTCCTCATCTGTAAAATGGTCAGCATTCTTGAGGATTAAATGAAACAATGAGGAAAAGTACCTGGAGCATAGAAGATTCTCAATAAATGGCACAAATTATTATATCCTTCACAAGTTCTCTCCCTCCCAATTCCAGTGGGGAAATTAGAGCCCCAGGATCAGCTCCCAGGCTGCCCCACTCAGGGGACACGGGCCTTGCCCAGGAGTCTGTGGACAGGCACAGGTAGCCACTGCTCTGAGCCAGTAGCCTTGCCCCCTGCACTTCTAACCGCTCCCTGCCATGACCAAGAGGAAATATGTGCCTATGCAACCAGCCTGTCTCTCAGCATATCCATGACCCCCCAACCCTCAGGGCCAGGACCCACTAGTAGCCAACCTAGCATAAGGAACATGGTAGGCAAAATATGCTCCCCCAAAGATATCAGGTCCTAGAACCTGGGTCACCATGGTGGGTTGAACAGTATCTCAAAAAGATGTATTCAAGCCCTAACCCCTGGTACCTGGGAATGTGACCTTATATGGAAATCATTTCTTTGCAGATGTAGTTAAGGATCTCAAGATGAGATCGTCCTGGATGTAGGGTTGGAAAAGGAAACGGCAACACACTCTAGTATTCTTGCCTGGGAAATCCCATGGATAGGAACCTGGTGAGCTACAATCCATGAGGTCACAAAGAGTTGGACACGACTGAGCCACTGAACACTCACGCACACACGTAGGGTGGGCCCAAGTCCAAGGACTGGTGTCATAAGAAAAAGGAGGAAATCTAACATGCACAGGGAAGAAGGCCATGTGAAAACAGGCAGAGATTAGAGAGATGCTGCCACAAGCCAAGGAACACCAGGAGCCACAGAAGCTGGAAGAGGCAAGGAGGGGGTCTCCTCTAGAACCTCTGGAGGGAGTATGGCCTGGTTGACACCTTGGCATTGGACTTCTGACCTTGAACTGCAGGAGAGTAAATTTCTATTAACTTTAGCTACCAAGTGTCTGGTAATTTGTTGTGGAAGCCCTAGGAAGCTAATGCAGTTACCTTGTTTGGAAAGAAGGTCTGGCAGGTGGGATGGAGTCAAGGCTCTTGAGGTGGAGGGATGACTCTGGATTACCCGTACAGGCCCTCAACACATTTGGATGTAGGTGGGAGACAGAGGGAGCCCTGACACAGAGGAGGAGAAGGTGATGTGAGACGGAGCAGAGAGAGATTTGAGGATGACTGGCCTGGAAGACTTGAATGATGCAGCTGCCACCAGAAGCGGGGAGAGGAAAGGAATAGATTTTCCCCCAGAGCGTCCAGAGAATGAAGGAGCCTGATGGCCAGCTTAATATCCAGTGAAACTGAGACTTCTGGTCCTCAGAAGTCTGAGAGAGTAAATTTCTATTGTTTATTAATATACATTTGTTATTTTATTTTATTTGCTGCATCATTTGGGATCTTAGTTCCCTGACCAGGGATGGAATCCTGCAGTGGTAGCAAGGAACTGTAACCAATAGACCACCAGGGAAGTCCCAAATTTCTATTGTTTTAAACCATCCAGTTTGTGGTAATTGGTTCAGTTGCTCAGTCTTGTCCAACTCTTTGCAACCCCATGGACAGTTGTCCGCCAGGCTCCTCTGTCCATGGGGTTCTCCAGGCAAGAATACTGGAGTAGGTAGCCATTCCCTTCTCCAGGGGATCTTCCCCACCCAGGGATTGAACCCGTGTCTCCTGCACTGGCAGGTGGATTCTTTACCACTGAGCCACCTGGGAAGACCTCGTGATTGGTTAGAGTGAGTATAAGGAACTAATACTGAGTAGCACAGCAGAGGCCCCATGGGGTCCCTCTCCTCGGGGCCTTATCCCATTCAGGTCTGTCTCACAGGGAACGGCAACTCCTTTTCCTTTCTCCTAATCCCTCACCTCCCAAGCCCCAAACAGAAGACAGCCCCACCCCAAAGCCTCCCTCCCCTGGGGCTGGGTTCCTAGTGTTTATAGGTGAACATGCAAATCCCTCTTTCCAACCCCAGTTCCTGAAGTTTAGTAGGAAACTGGGAGGTCAGGCCCCTCGTTCCTGAGCTGGGGCTACGATATGTGGGACGGGGTAGTTTGCCAGATTAGACACTTGCAAGAGAGGAAACCCTGCCTCAGGTGTGGCCAGCCTCTGCCCCTAGGCTTCTGCCAGCCCAGGTGCAGCAGGAGCCAGGCCCTGGGGTCCCGAGAAGAAGAGTCCCAGGGTGTCCAGGATCCTGTCTGGTCTTCCACCACTGGGGGAAGCACCAACCTCATCCTTCCCACAGAAAAACTCTGCTCTTCAGCCTTGGGACTCACCACCCCCACCCAAGCTGCCTTGGGTCTCTCTAGGCTGTGTGCTTTGTAATTGATCTTCTCAATTGGTGCGCTGGTGTATGCGTGCTCGGTCATGTCTGACTCTTGGCGACTTGCTGGACAGTAGCCCGCCAGTCTCCACTGTCCATGCAATTTCCCAGGCAAGAATACTGGGGTGGGTGGTCATTTCTTTCTCCAGGGAATCTTCCTGATCCAGGGATCAAAATCACATCTCCTGCATTGCCAGGTGGATTCTTCACCACGGCGCCACCAGGGAAGCCAGGGTTACCTCAAACCCCAGGATCATTCATTTTAATCCTGAGACCCACATCACTCAGAAAGTTTTGAATTGCCATTTTATAGACTGGAAACCTAAGGTTCAGAGGTTCCCCCCAAAAGGACTAGGTCCAGATAGACCAGAATTTCTAAAGGAAATACCACCTTCTGGGGCCTTGCTCCTGGAGGCTCAACCAGTTCAACAACTCCAT